AATCTCCTGGGACTGAATGAAACTCACCATGGACCCCAGGCTTACAAGGACAAAACCAGAGTCTCCAAATTTGGTGATGAAATTCTCAAATTCCTAGAAAGAAATAAGGAAGGAAAGAGGAGAAAAATGTTCACAAAAGACTAGATGGTCATGAAATGAAGTCAGTTATTCACTGAACACACTCTCCTGTCCCTTGGAGTTCACTGTCCTGAGACAGGTCAGCACTCTCAGTTGTGCTCATGCCCACTGTGTTGGTGGGAACATCTTTCATTTTTGAAACCTTGACCGTACTGTCAAGGCAATCATAGACACTCTACTCATTGTAGGTCCATGAAGATATGGCCACTTGGGTGTTTTCCAAAGCCAGACCAGAAGTGGAATGTAAGGAAGAAACTTCTGGGAGCCAGGGTCCAGAAGAGGGAGGTGGGCTATCTGGAGGGTAGACTGGAGAAGCTGAGAAGAAATGGAGGTAGAATGGGGAGTTGACTGGCCATCCATACCCCATCCACCATGTACTGTGTGCTCCTCTCATATCCCATGATGTTGTTAGTCACTGATCTTTGTAGTTTATCTCCTATCTCAGTGATTCACCCACATGACTGCCCATTATATTCACATAGGAAGATTTTTTAAAAGTAGCAATGCCCCACCCAGTCTCAGACCTCAGCAATTCTTTTCTTCAAATCCCCGAGGCAGTTTGGAAAATCCGTTCTGATCTAATGCTGTAATCTTGGTTTTAACACATTTTGTCAATTCTTCTAAATATTTCTTTGGACCCTGACTCTTTCTGGATTTCTTGTGGCTCCCCCCACCACAGACCCTAGTTGTTGTTCAGTCTCTCAGTTGTGCCTGACTCTCTTCAATTCCATGAACTGCAGCACACCAGGCTTCCCTGTCCTTCACCATCTCCAGGAGTTTGGTCAAACACATGTTCATTGACTCAGTGATGCCATCCAACCACCTCATCCATCTCATCCAGCTCCTAGACCTTCACCCTATTGGGCTGATTTCATCTAGCATAACATTGCCTGATATACTGCCTCAGAGGACCACTTTGACAACAATTTTGTCATTCTGTTAAATTAAGAAGCAATGTAAAACCATTATATAAAAACTGGAAAATGCAAAGGAGAAAATTTTTTGAAAAAGTTACTATTATCTCACAATCCTTCCTCCCATCATGCTCCTGCTTAACAATTCCCTTCTGCAGTCTTGTGGCTAGGGCTGACCCACCCTCCTATCGGGTGAAACTTCCTGCAGTCTGGCCTGGGCATCTTTGTGCAACTGCATCTTCTACTTTCTAGTCCAGCTGGAGTCATCCAGGGAACCCAGAGACATCTCACTTCATCTTCACATTTTGGGACTCCTGTTCTCTCCACCTGGAACATCTTCCCTCCCAGCTTCATTCCTAAAAAATTCTTCCACCAACTCAAAACCCACGTAGCCCAAGGATCATTCCCCAACTCTTCCTGCTCACTTGATGCAAGTTCAGTAGGGGATGGATAGATTGTTTCATTCCTGAAAGGCCCAGGCCAAATCAGGACCCTCTAGCTTTAAAATGAATGAGAGTGGGACAGCCACTTACACCACTGGAGGCCTGTCCCTTTCTTTATAAAGATGGAAGTCATGCGATTTCCCTAGTGTTCCAGCAGTTAAGAAGTCACCTTGCAATGCAGGGGGACATGGGTTCAATTCCTGATCAGGGAACTAAGATTCCACATGCCGCAGAGCAACTAACCCACACTCTGCAACTACTGATCCCGAGGGCTTTGGAGCCTGTGTGCCACAAAGAAAGATTCCACATGAAGCAGTGAAGGTCCTGCATGCTGCAACTAAGACCCAACTCACCCAAATAAATAAACAAATATTCAAATTTTGAAGAATTTAAAAAGAATTAAAATGGAGGTCATCATACCTCCTTCTAGGTGGCAAGAGTTTATATAAGATAAATTCCATAAAATTGCAAGCCTGTGCTGTTAGATGACAAGCAACACATTCACCTTAAAGAGTTAGTCACTCGGTCATGTCTGATTCTTTGTGATCGCATGGACTGTAGCCTGACAGGTTCTTCTGTCCATGGAATTTTCCAGGCAAGAATACTGGAGTGGGTTACCATTTCCTTCTCCAGAGATTGAACCTGGGCCTCCTGCAATGCAAGCGAATTCTTTACCATCTGGTCTTAACTCCCTTCCATTTTGAAAACTTCTCCAGCAGTGGTTCTGAGTCAATGCAGTCAAACTGATTGGGCAGCTTTTATAACTTACACTTCCCAGGCTTGACCCCACATCAATCAAATCAGAAGGTGTAGGCAGAGTTAGGGACCAGGGCGCTACTGTCTCGGGATGCTGGCAATAAAGCCTGCATTCTCACTATCAGTCCCACACACCACCTCTGTAGTCGTGCTGTTTTGTGTTTCCTTGTGAGTAACTCATCCCCTTCATGATTCTTGCATGTGACAGATGCTCACTACATACTTACTGAAAATATGAGCATAGAAAATGAAAATGGAAACTTCAATTTACCAAAAGATTTTTTCTACCAGCACCAGGACTAAGGTGAAGCAAGAGAAGACCTTGGATATAGTATTTAAGGAGGTCAATCTCAGGGTTGTATAAGTCTTAACTCTGTACTTTCATGATGCTGAAAGTGAGTCTTTCCTTTCAAAGGGTCCCCTGGAGCCTCACTTGCCTCACCTTATGCACCCCCAGGAGCCTAGTGACAGGGTGGCCACCATCTCTGCACTGAGGACTTCTGCATGAATCGACACTCTTAGCATTTACTTACTTGTGGTACTGGTTTAACAGGTTTGGCCATTAAACCTCCAATACACACAGTGTTGGGAAGCAGGGGCCGAGCAAAATCAAAGGCAAAGTCGGAGTTAACAAACCACAGCTCTGCTTTTGTTAGAAGATGAGACAAAACTGGCCTAGAGTCATCGGGGAAATGCTCCTTGATGGTGTCATCATACACAGACTGGATTTTCCACTGCTTCTTGAAGAACTCAAAAAACATCAAGAAATTCTTTACTCGGTCCCAAAAGTCCATCTGATCAGTTAACAAGGAATAGAATACTGGCACATAAGACAGAGGACTTGGTAGCCCAAAGTCCACACTGCCCAATAGGGAAGGGAGAACGGCCACAAATGGCTTCCCAAGCTTCTCAGCAACCAAGAAAGGACAGTAGTCAAACATTTCCACTATCACCAGGTCAAAGTTCTCATTCTTTAAAGAATTCATGACATCATTTCTCCTTAACAAATGACTGCAGTGATGCCCTAGTAGTTCCATAATATTTAAAAAGTGTTCAAATCTGCATCTGTAAGAAAAATAAATAAATGATAAATATTTGTTGAAAGTGTTTATATCACAATACATAAAAAACCTTGGTCCATCAACAGATGAATGGATAAAGAAGGCATGGTATACATATACAGTAGAATATTACTTAGCTGTAAAAAAGAATGAAATAATGTCATTTGCAGCTACATGTATGGAACTTGAGATTATCACACCAAATGAAGTAAGTCAGAGAGAGAAAGACAAATA